ATATATATATATATATATATATATATATATATACTCATACAATATATACCCCATTTATTTCCAAATAAGCAGTTTGCCTCATTCTTGATTAATTTCTGTTATTTTTTTCATTTTAGTACTTCTGTCAGGTACTTTGAATTTTTTCTTCCTAATAAAGAAAGACTAGGAAGGTATTTGTGATAGATATGGTGCAGTCCAGCAGTTGAAGTTCATTAATAATTGGAATGTTGCAGAGTATGAAGTAATGAATACTAATTACTCCTTTCATGTCTGACAGCACCCCATGGACCAATACATCAGCCCAGACTTTAATTTGGTTCTAGTAATGGTTTCATCAATAGTACATTAATTCTGTGTTTGAAAAGATGTACAGTTGAACCTGACCCACACAGTAGATACCACTGTCATAAAATGGCCACATACTGACAACAACTGGATAATTACAAATAATTAAATCCGCCGAGCTTCAGACAATCCTAATTTTAAGTAAAATATATCTTATCCTATCAATCGACAGAAAGCATAGCTAGGGAGATTTATCAACTTGTATTCCTTGCAAAGCAAATTTACTGGCCTGTTTATTAGAGAACTTGCTGATCTGTGAACCACATCACAAGAGTACCTCTCCCCTTCCTTCTTTGCAAGATGGTTCTTATGTTGCTCTCCTGGATATTCTGCAACACCAGCTCTTGGTTTCTGAATGAAGAAATTCTCAGCCTTGGAGAACTTCAAATGAATAAATTTATATTTTACTCAAAACCAGCTCACAATAGGGTGAACTAAAGGTACTTGTTATTGCTGAAAAGCAGACTTCATGCTTAAGTGCCTTAGTACATATTTAGAAGCCTAGCAAATTTTGGGTGTTCAAATTTGGAAACATTTTTATTTTCAATTTTGGAACTACAAAACTGCTCAGTTGTTTCTAATGCGCTTTAGACTGTGCCTGTATGTTCAAAATTGCTTCAAAATGCTCACATTTCTGTTAAAATATTTCAAGATATTTGCTTTGAGAAGGAAGAGAAAAGAAAAAAAATAATAAAACAATTTAAGAAAATATCAGTTGTAGTACATAGTTTGACATTACATAGTACATGTAAGCATGACAGCCACAAGACAAAAAATAAGTAAAATTTGGGTACAACGAATTAGCAATGTAGGCAAAAATTACTCAAGATGAAAATACTTAGATTTTTTTGGAGCAGATAAACCAAGGCATAAAAGTAAACAGGTACCAACTCTATGTGGTGTTGGGTTTTGGCCTTCACCTGCTATAAAAGAAACTGTGCATTGAGTAAGTTTGGTATGGATGGTCCTTAATATTGGAATTTTTACCTGTGTGTGTCCTATCCTGTTTCCCCAGCACTCTCTTTTGGAAATCACTGGCTAGGAGCATTAACTATAACAGATCAATGTTATTTTGGCTCATAGGAGAGGAGACGGAGGAATAAATTCATTGTTCATAGAGCTCCTATTTGCATTTGCACGAGGTGCTACCTTGCTGAACTCCTTTGCACAGTCACAAAGAGGTAGTCATGTCTCTTCAGCTGCAAGATTAGGTTATTAAGAGGTTTTTTGAGATGTTTTGAAGTTTGATTTATGTGCAAATATAGCTTGTATGAACAAGTTTCCATTCTTATGAGGCACGACTATTATTCATGAAACAGCAAGAAAATTTGTTTGTTTTCTCCACAGGGAGAAGCTTCCCTTGCTTGAACATCTTGTCAGCTGTGCAGCTTCAAGGCAGTGCTTTTCCCACTGAACTAGTTTGACCAACTTGCACAGTTTGCCTACTGAGATTGCCTGGTAACAGCTCCATTCTGTGCTTGTTTTCACCTGATTTATTCAGCTTCCTTCTCTACATTACTCATTGGGGTTTGCAAGTCGGTTCCAGAAGCTTTTAATTTTAAGCAGCAGGAACTGAATGAAAGCTCCTCTGGAAAATGTGTTTATCCCTCTTTCTTCCCATTGAAAAATATTGTTTCCCTGCACTTTCCAGTCCAAAAATTTATCACTTATTTCATTCTTGCTGAGTTGATCCAAAACATCTCGCTACAGGAAGCTGTCCCACCATTCTACCATGTAGAGTTATGGTCTGTTTTGGAGAACTGCTGCCCTGAAAGGTATGCTTTAATTTTGTGTTGTATGAGAGTGTCCCATAAGAAAAGATGTTGCATAAACTCTCAAGCCATTGCATTCTATGAAGCCTTGTTCCTATATTCAAAATTTCTCCCCTTCATGAATTCCTGCCTTTGCAAGACCAAGGCATTGTTACCTAAGGCAGAACATACACAAGGGAATAGCAGATCTTTGTGTCAATCAATCAAGATTGACAGATCAGACAAGATGTTACACACGTCCCAGTCTTCTCATAGCTGATTGCTCATGTTATCTCCTGGAATTTATTTGTTTTTATATTTGCCTTGGCTAAATATAGTTTTTGCTCAAGGCATATACAGGTTTTTTAAAGCTTTTTAAATCCTTTTTGAATCCCTTAATCTACTTTATTTTCAAAATCTATGAGAATTTCAACAGGAAAAAAAACCTAGTGGAGAACAATCTCTTTTTAATTTACTTTGTTTTTTCTTAAATACCAGGGAGCTGGGACTCACATGAAAGATGCTGTGTCTATTTCTGGGTAGAGTGGTGCTTTAGTTCCATTCATTCTATCTGCTGCAGATGAGGGAATAGGACATTATGAAGAAAACATTGCCAAAAATAGAACTTGTCCTTAGAAATTTCTTTGGTGACTATTTTTTGATATTCCTTCTGTCATGGACTTCCATTATTCATGCCTGTTTTGCTGCATTTCTTCATAATACATAATTTTTCTTCATAATCCAGAATTAAACTCTAAACAGAGCCATTTTACTGAAAAAAAATTAAGTCATCCTACTGGGTTCTCCACCTCTCTGTTTATCGTGGTTGCTTACACTCTTGAAGAGTGCAAGAGCAATAACAAAACATTTCTTTTTCCCAAATCTGCAATTAACAGAAAACCTACAACAGCTGCAGTAATAAAACCCACCAAGTCATTATGTAAGTTTTGCCTTTCATAGGTGATAATCACAGAAATTGGTTATTTATTGCTTCTGTGAATTGAGAACTCCTAAAGGAAATCTTTTAATCCAAAACTCTAAAACTTGTTATATTTCCTCATAGATGTTCTGAAACATGGCATGACTCCCTTAGCAAAGGTTGTTCTTCTGACAAAGCAAACTGAAGAAAGTGTCTTTTGTCAGATCTCTTGTTTCATCAGTGTGTGTGAGTGTGTCTTGAAAGCAAAGCAAAATCGTGATCTCCACGTCAAGCTTTACAGTTTTGTTCTCTCCAGCTGCAGTCAGTTTTGAAGGCTGTGGAGAGACCATGTTGCAGAACTGGACAGTGAATTCATGTCCACCTGGGAGAGGCTGTATAATCTGAAGGACATGTAGTCATGTGGCTAAATTATTGCAGTATTACACAAGCATAAGCCTGGAAAACCCATCTCCAGTAGTTTGCACGGCAGTGTTATACAATATACATCTGATGTTGAGTTTTGTAGAGTCATGAGTTTCCCAGCACTAGACATAGTAGTTTCCTTCAGGAATTCACTTAAAGTATATCATAAGCAGCTCTCTTTTCTTCCTTCTCCCTGGTGAAATGCAGAAGGGTCTCAGCACACCATTATGCATAGCCTACATCTTATAGCTAAGGGCATGTCAGAAGCAGGCAAGGTTTTTAAGTGCTGAAACCTGTGTTCCTGGCTCTGGCAATGCCCTGTGATAGCCAAGAAACAAAGCAATGTTAAAATTTCTACAGAAAGTACTTCTTTTATTCATGTCCTGATGTGACTTTCATAAATCTCATTCAAGTGTTTAGTATCTATGTTAATGCAATCAGTTTGAAAATTGAGTTAACAAATGCCAATTTGAATTTTATGAACAGTTCATGTTATGAATGTTCCATGTTATAAATGTTCTATTAGCCCTTTTTTAAACAGATTTTTATTACTAATATTTGAATCTCCTTTCTTGGCAGAGAACATTCAAAACCACTGCTGTACAGAAAATACAGGATTTAGGCTTGTGTGCAAGTGAATCCTGAAAATTGACACGCTGTTCACTGGGCAAGTCAATGGCGAAGAGTTGTGTCACTGGGTCACACCAGACCAGACACATGGCACACACTGTAATCTATAAGTTATTTTCAATTTTTTGTTTGGTTCTATGCCACTGATATAGGTGAACTTCATGTTGCCTCCCTGCTGGGCCTCAAAACGGCACAGAGTGGCAGTGACAGGCTTCACCCCTCACATAAGGGATGAAGGGATCAGGAAATGACAGCTCTTCAGTAAGGGATTCCAGTAAATAAAAGGTGAACTTAGGATAACTCATTCTTTCATCCAACAAATAATTAATTTGGAATGAAACACTTAGCATATTAACTTAAAAATCATTATGTTCTTTGTTTCAGTTGCCAGCCATTCCCTCTCCTCTAGTCTATCCATTTCTTATAAATACATGTCCCTACTTAGTTTTTTAGGCCTTATATTTAAGGAAATTATAGTAAAAACTAACAACTATCACAGTGGCATTTGTTTGAAAACTTTCCTAAATTTCTAGTAAGTTATGATGATAGACATTTATGTCTAAGCCACAGACTCTTCAGTACAGCAGTGAATAATCTCCCTGTGTCTGCTGTTTATACAAATGAAACGACAAAAATTAAGAAATACTCTGTGTATTCAGCTTATAGTTTTGGTGTGTTCAATCATCCTCATTTTGTTTCTTAAGTTTCAGGCACCTTAAGTTTGGCTTGTGTGGATTTGCGATGCTGCTAAGATCATACAGTACACATTGTTTGCAATCTGAGATACCTATGAGGTTTTAATTTAGTGAGATTCCCATTCTTGTGCCTTTTATTCTTTCCCAGATGCACCAAGATTGAAGACAAAAAATGTGAATTCAAAAAGAATTTTCATCTCATCCTTCACACTAAACTGGTTAACCCTCCCTTACAAGCCACAACTGCAGGCTCAGACCACCTTCATTAATTTCACTGTCACCAGGGACAGGCTGGAAGACCAGCTGTTGGCTGAGGTTGTTAATGCAAGACTCACAAAAAACATAAGGTAAGGACTATATTTTGATTTGTCTGTTGCCTGCTCTGGAATTTTAAGTCAAGTATTAATATTTCTATTTGAATCCACTGTACTGTAATTGTTAGAAGCCCGTATTAGAAAGATTTTAAGAGTCTGGAAAGTGTAGAAGGTTCTTTCACTGATTCGTTTAAAACTGTTCTCCCAAAGGGCTTGTCTTGACCTAAAGCTCTGCTAGAAATTAAATTTATTTTGATATTATTCCCACACTTCTCTCTACCACTTGGTTTGCTCTGTGCATTGCATTTAATTTACAGAGCAGGTTTAGAGCCCTCTGCAGTGCTTTGTGCTTTGGCGATCTTGAGCCAATAACTGTAAATAAAATTCCATGCCAGCCTGTACAAGGAAAAATAATGGCACTGTGAGGAGCTAGGGCATTTGGTTAATAAATCACAATTTATTCCTGCAGGGATGCAGTTCAGTAGCTGCTGCAGTCACACCAATATATAGTATAGTATGAGGAGAAAAGCTTTTATGTGGTTATAGGAAGGACTTTGGACAGGATGTAATCTATGAGATAAAACGTGAAAAGAAAATACTTAGGGGTGTGAAATTAATAGCAAGAATACCTCCTATTTCTCTAGTGTGTCTTTCCAGTTATCTCATGTGATTAACTAACTTAGTCCACAAAGATTTGCTCCACCTGTTTGAGGTACTCCTGCTTCATGCAAGGGCAAACTGGGTCAGGGAGTTTAATCACCCCTTGAAGAATGAAAGCCATATACTTGAGAATGAGATCTGAAAACATCTGTCCATTTACCTCTGCATCTGCACATTGTTCCACCTGGGACTGCATGCTTACTAGGCCTGTACCACCCAGGGTTTTGGTGTGAGTCTGACTGAGAGCTCCCCACAAGACCAGACAAGCTCTTGCATGGTCAGAAGGTCAGTCCAGCAGAGCAGACTATGACAACGTTTTCCCACTCTGTTTGCTGCCAAAGTGAGGTTCTTCAGCCTTGTGCTAGTCTCTGGTTTTCTCAGCTGCCACAGAGAGTACAAGTGGCCATCCCTGACAAGATCACAGTCCTTTTGTGTCATGTCAGGAGGAAGAGCACTAGGAGAGAGATAAAGTTCTAGTGCATGACAGCCTAAACCTTCTCACGTTGGGTGTGCAGAACCTCAGAACTAGTACACTGGGATGGAAGGCAAACTGGCCTTTCAGAAATTAAATCAAATCAACTGATGTAATTAAACAGAAAATATAGCTCACAACTGCTATAAAACATTATTTCTTGCTGTGGTTGTTTAAACACAATGGTATTTTTCCCTCTGCTCGTCAGTCCTCACCAAGAAGCCAGAAGGGTTTTTTGACTGAGCTCAGGCAGCTGGAGGATGACAGCCTGTCAGCTGCCAGGGCAGTCTCCTAGACCACAGTGAACTTGTAAAGAAAATCAAATCAGCAAAGTCAACTGCACCAGAAATACAGCACAAGGCAGTAACAGTTGAACTGTTTCTAACAACTTAAAGTCACCTGTAAAATGACTATTGTTATTATTCTATTATTATTTTTTTAAGTGTAACATTTCTATGAGCTAGAATAGGAATAGTCAAATTACTGCCTTTCCAGAAAGGGCTGTCCTCCCCATATTCGCATTTTCATATCTATAATATGTAGTTGTCACATTTTTGATTTTTTTAGGTGTTTGAATTAGTATTCATAAAATTAATAAATACCAACATGAAATTTGAACAAATGTACTAATATATGATTGCCATATTTTCCCAGGTAAACAGGTATATTTCTGCAGAGGACAGTTATTCCCTAATGCCTGTCTAAGATAAGAACTTTACTTACTTCAAATATTTGCCACTGCCTGAAATAAAGTCAGTTTTCTAGAGTATATCCACATTCTTTTCTGTATGTATAGGAATATTTTGGTAATTGTGCAGGATAATTATGAGACATTAAAAATAAACAGGACAGCTGTCACCATTCAGGTAGCTGAAGCCAAAGAAAATAAAGCTCAGAGTGGCAGGACAAGAGAGCATTTCAGACTGACAGCTGGAAGAGCATCCACTCCTTACTCCTGGAGTGCCAGCCTGGGCAGTGTCAACCCCACGTACCAGCTTCCACTGAAGGTAGAAATGTCTCTCAACTTTTTTTCAAAGTGCAAGAAACAGAATTGTGCCTCCAGCAGTGATGCCTGATACATTAGTTGTTGCTCGCACCAGATGTTTACATTGGCAGGGCTGCGTGTGGGAGGGAAGAGAACACCATGCGATCTCCTGCTGGTCTGCGCCACAGTGAGTCCCCACGGGTCTCTTTGTTGGCTGCCTCCATTCTGACACTGCTCTCTGACTGTGCTTGCAGAAGTTCACCTTCCTTCTGTTAAGCCATCCCACAGGGCCAGGAAGGAAGACTTTGGAGGAATTCTGTGTAAACAATTCCCCGTCGTAAACCTACCAAACGATCTAATGCAGTGAGTAAGGGAGATCACCCACTCTGAAATTACCAGCTTGTTCAAGTGAGAGAGTCTCCATGCTGAGATAAATAAGGAAGCAGGAGAGTATTGCTGTTTGCAGCCCTCACCCCTGGTTTGCTGAAAATTTCCCTTAAAAGCCTCTTTTCAGCCTCTTGCATTTTACACTGCTTGGGTCAGCTCTTTGTGGGAGCCTACAGTAGGAAACTAATTATCTTATGAGTAGTAAAGCAAAAAAAGCAAAATTCAAATGAATAAAAATAAATGTACTAACTCTCAGGCCTTCAATGCATCTGCCACAAAGAAATTAAATAGGTTGAAAAATTAGGAGATATTCAGTGTTGTATCTCTAACCTAAAAGAAGCTGTCACATATTTGAACTTTCTTTTCACAAGCCAAGGATTTTTGAAAACTATAAGCTCATTTTCCTGGCCAAAGTGGCTTTTCAGGTGAGGAGAAATTTTCATATTGGTGATGATGACATTAACTGGATTTACTGTTTCTCCTCCGGAAGCTCATGCCTGTGCCCAAACCCTGTGGTTGTGTAGTTTTTTACACAGGGTTACTGCTACTTCAGTATCAACAAAAATTGCAGAAGTTCCAGAGATGCTATAATGTAATTATTTTCATTTAAAATGCTACAATATCTTCATAAAGCTAGGTTCAGGATAAACAGCATGACTTAGCTGCTTGCATTTAGATAATTAGAGTTGAAATTGATCTGCTGTATAAGTAAATAACACATATCCAAATAATATTCAGGCCATTGCTTTTCCTTTTTATTTTAGTAACTGTATGCCCTAGAAAAAGTCAGGGCTCAGGTGTACTGGGAGTCAGAGGTGTCTTTGAAGCAATTCTGATGACCTTTTTCAATTTTGTGTGCTGTCATGGTTCTTCTAAGTAGTAAAGAGATAGGACTCCTTGAATTGCATTTCCTTTTTCACTTCAGAGTTGAACACAAAAGAATCCTGTTGACATTTTAACTACACCTCCATGGAGTATCATTAGAGTAGTTTGGGAAAATTGCTTTTCAGTTCTATATCTTTTCTATTATTATTTCTGGACACGTGCCTCACCTAGACACTTTCAGATAAAGTCATGCATTCTCTCATAATTTTTTAGTAGCAATAGTAGTGTCTTCAAAGTGGAGTTTTCTTCACTATTTGAGTGCCTTTTCCCTTAAATATCATATACTGTATCTTGTGAGGAAATTCTGTTCTACCATGATTTGTCCACTCCCCTAAAAGTAGAATTTTAACTCCCTGCCACTCCTTACTTTAGTAAATGTCCCATAGAGGGTTTCCAGTTTGTCATATCTAGATGTTTAACAATAAGCAGACAATAGCAATACTAACCAAAGTAAACTCTTACCAATACTATTTTTATGTATGCGTGGTTGTGCGTATATATTTAGTGTTTTATTCATGTAATTGTGTATTATTTATGTAATTTAGTATTTTAAGGCAAGTCCTGAGTCCCTTGGCTGCACTAGGGGTTTTTGCATGCTAAAAAATTATCAGTGTCATCCTGTTTCAGTTATCATGCAAAAGGTACAACATCTGTATTTGGCATGTTTCCAGGCTATGGCAGTGATGGATGTGTTCAGAGGGGTAGATAAAGATATTTAAAGATCCACCAAGAAATGGAAGAAGTGAGTGGACTCAACATATCCAGAAAAGGAGAAAAAAAGCTCTTTTCAGAAACTAGTAATACTGTCCAGGACAGAATGTTGTATTGGTCTGAGGTAGGAAATCTGAGGGTTCATTTTTCAGGGCAAGTGTGTGTGAGAGTAATGCCTTGCATGACAAATCCAGCTCTTAAGGAGCAAGTAAATAACTTCTAGAACTGGGTGGTCAACCAGAATTTGAGATCCATTACTGTGGTCCTTCACAGCCTGTTCTCCTGATGAAAAGTTTATGAAAAGGTGGTGTGGTAAAACAGGAGCATATTTGGAGAGCTGTGATTGTGATTCCTTTTAGACTGAATATAGATGCCTGAGGAGAACAGTCATTGATAAATACACATACAGTAAGCTATCCTCTTAACAACTATAAATGTATTTTTCAGTGTTAGCTCTCATTATGGTATTAGAGCTGGTAGGTAACCCCACAGGATGACAATTTTTCAGATCTCCCTTTTGAAAGTTCTATGGAACCAAGAAGGACTCTGTATGTCTTCAGCTGTGAATACTGACACATTTGTTTTCCAGTTGTGCTGGTTTTATCTTTCAGTCCCAAGCGATGGTCCTATAGACCTGTTGCTCCACATCCCACAGTCACCATTTTTACATGACTTCTGAGAAGGCAGGCTTAGTCCTAGGTATTTATTTTGCCCAACTACCCCAGCTTTATGTGACAGTATTGCTTGCATGTAATGAGGTGCTTTTTATTCAGAAGTTTCTCTCTTCTGTCATATGGTCACTATCCTGCAGGGAAATGGGGAAAATCATCTTCTCTCTTGCCTCACCACCTGCTTCCCTTCTTGCCTTCAGTTCTCTCTCCTGATGATTTCTCTGATGAAATGACCATCAGTCTCAGATACGCTCAAGTCTGAGAATGGTGCAGACCTGAAGTACTTATCAAGGCAATCTTTTGTGTTAGCAGATGTTTTGTCATGTATAGAAATTGTGTGGAGAAAAATCTTGTTTCAAGGTACACAAAAAGCACAACGACGGATTTAACAAAATGCCAAGAAGAGAGCAGTCCAGCCACTCCTGTGTTTTTCATCCTGTCTTCAGGACTAGGCCCACTTGAAGATCATGAGACCCTACATAAGCCTCTTATTTGCTTCTGGTTCAAGGACCACTTAACTGTCCCCCATTAAAGAAAGAACAACTGAGCTCGAAAGTGAAATTGGGCATACAGGGCTAGAAATGTGGATAAACTGGTGTATGGTTATATGCTTGTGTGTATGTGCTTATAGAAGTCTATGTGTAGTTATATTTTCTTTACTGAACACAACAAAGCCTTCTGGATTCATCTGTCACTGGGATGGGATATGCATTACTGTGGGAAAATTGGGCACAGTTTGTTCTCAGCAGAAGATTCAAGTTCTGAAGTTTCTTCCACCCCAACCGTATTCATTGCAATGGGATGGATGAAAAGTGTAAGGCCATAAGCACTACAGTATGAAGAAATTTTTAGAGCATTCCTCTGCTTGGCATAATGCAGGTTTCCTTTGTGCTGTTTTCTACCTTTTGACTAGATGCAGGCCAGAGGGCAATTTTCTCCATGCTCATGTAATCTTGTGCCCCCTGTGTCTAAATAATGGTCATTATACAAACTATATTCAATTGTATAGGGCTCTGAGGCTTTATATGTAGGATTACTATTCCCCACAGACAATAGTGAGAATACCAGGTTAATACAGCTGTGACCTCACTGTGCTCAATTTAAGCTCAGGCCCCACAAGGTGAGAGGCTTGTGCATTTACCCACTGAACCAATCAGTTAAAAAACTGATGTGATATCTACCACATGTTGCTCCCTTTTTCATGAGGGAATTGCTCTGTACCCCCCATAAGAGTTTCTAAAGCTCAGTAACAATGCTGAGCATCTATCAAAATGTCAAAAGGTTCATTATCTTAAAACCAAGGGAACAGATTTCTGCAGGCTTTTTCTAATACCAGCAATAAGGCCACTGTTGAGAGCTCGCAATTTTGCTTGTTGAAATTGTAAGGGTTTAGTGAAGTGCTTCAGAGGAAGTAATATGCATTGCACAAGTGATAGTGAAATTAATGGGGGCATTATCATTCTTTTTCCTTTTTGCTCTGCTAATTTTCCCATCTCCTCCCCCTCCATCACTCACCCTTCCCCAATTATTTCTATTGCAGGCAAAAAGCTCAGGTTCACTACAGACCCTGGAAGATTTTGTAAGATGTCTCTAGGACAAAAGCAGGAGATGGTTGCAAAGGAGGCACTCTAGAAAGCTGCCTCACATGGCCGTTGGGTTCTTTTCCAAGTGAGTGTCAAACTGCCTCTCTGATGGGGAATACCTCCTCAGCTGGGGGGATGTTCCCAGAACACAAAATATGCGGTGGATTGCATCAAAAATTCTAAACAGTAATAGTTCTAAGCAAATAATCTTTTTCTATTTGTGTTTACTTTTGCTTTTGGTTGTAACAGGATAAACATCGTATTAATGGGGTTTATGTCACTTTTTGCTGAACAGTGCGCTCTCCCAGGAGGAGCAGGAGAGATAACACAGAAAGCCCCTGGTGGGTGGGTAGGACTGCCCTCAGGCACACCCTTCCCCCGCCCAATTAAGAGCTCCTGTTCCATTCAGCAGGCCACAATGGAGACTTTAATGAAATGGGTCTGGCTGTCCCTGGGGAGGCTGTATAATTAGTCCTGGAGTGCTGCTTTTCTGAGATAGCAGCCACGGCTTTGGCCAGCTTTGTATGGACCAAGAACCCGCTCTGCAGTGGACAAAGAGATCCGTGGGATGCCCTGGCAAGCCGTGGTTTCCCAGCACAGTAACAGAGTGAACAGGAGCACAGCAACCATAAATGCCACTGAAAAAAGATGCTCCCTACCCAGTGTTTTATGCTCAATAGCCAATGTTTGTATGTGACAGCCTGTCAGCCCTGAAGCCAAATGACAAGTGCATGTTCCAGGCCTTGACATTAAGGTGGCCATGGGAATGGGTTGGTTCTCTCCTCTCCTGGTTTAGCTTCAGTAGCCTGCTTTGTCTGCCAACCAGGTTGCCTGCAACAAATGAAGAGATGTGTTAGAGTCAGCGTTTACTGCCAGATGAAACAAAACCACCATGGGATTAATGAGGGGCCCTGGTGTGCTGGGCACTGTGGGTGCATGCACAAACTGCCCCCTTCGTCAGCAATGAAACTGGAAGTGTGCTTGACCATATATCTTTGTGAGTGAGCTAATCATGCCAGTCTGAGAGTAACCCTGCATAGAAATGTTGTGAAGGGAAGAATCATGCTGGTTTTCAGGGAATGTCAGGGTTCTCAGCTGCTCTGGGGGCAGAATGAAATAATGGGTGATGGCAGAGACAGTGTTGTGCCTGAGGCTGCATGGATGGATGGGGAACTTCTGAGGAGCTTCTGGGAATACAGACCTGCTCTGTTTTCCAGCCTGTTATGCCTGGCTTTTGAGGGAGGAGAGAAGCAACAATTTTGCTGTAAAGGTTTTTGATAGTGAAGGATTGTGGGAAGTCTGACAGGAAACTTCATGAAGATGTTGGGCCAAATCCCAAATGGCTCTAAGCTAGCTAGAGCTATTGGGACTTGGATGTACTCAGTGTTTCTCAAGATTTAGTCTTCTGCATTTGGGCCTAAAAACCCTGTGCTTATATTTCAAAAAGATTTTGGAGCAAAAAGATGAGGTATTTTACTATGGATTTTATTGGAGGCTAGAAAGTACATAATTAAATATTAAAAAAGAAAAAAACAAACCAATGTACCCCTGTGATTCTGACTTTAAAAATTACTTTGGCTTCAGATCTTGCAAAGGCAGTTGGCACAGTGGTTGGCAAAATGGCAGAAGAAGGACTGACTTCAGGTTTTTTTGTGTCAGGTTGCACTCTTCTGTCGCTCATAGTTAATATCTCAAATTCAGATATCTAATACATTGAATGTTTATTTTGTTATTATATTAAGGCTTTAATCACTTCCACTTTGCATTCAATGGATGGAGCCTATATGACAATCCAGGTGCTGACAGAATGCAATCATGTCATGTGATGTAAAAGTCTCCCTTTCTTTCCATCCCTCTATTCCTTTTTCCACATGGTGAGGGACAGTTTGGGAATATTCCCCCAGCAGAACTCATAATAAAGTGATGCAGCAGCCAGGGTGTGAGTGACATGTTGTATTCTTTGGCTGTAATCCCTCCTGTGCTGCATGGAGATTGCCAGCACAATCAGGAGGTTCTGGCACATCAGTGAAGGGCCAAAGAAAAGCTCCTGGATGAGCTGCAGTTTGAGTTGAAATGTTAGTACTGTAACAAAGAAATGCGGAGTGTGGGCTGATGGTGTGTTTAAAACATCTTCAGCCCAGCCACATTTTAAATATTTCTCAATATTCCTGTTTTTCACCAAGAGGTGCTTTGGAGGCAGATACTTTTCCATTATAACACTCTTCTCTGATCTATCAGTGTCCTTCCACTGTCTTCATGTATTTCGAACTTTAAGGACAGCTGCACCCTGAAGTAGTCTAAGACATATTTCCTAAGCAGCAGGATAGCTGGAACCATTTTTCTGTCTAGCACTTCTGTCTTCTTCCTGGCATGTCTTAGACATGCCTAGGTCCCAGTTCTGCAAGAAATTAAAGAGAGTCCAGGTGTCTTCTGAGCTATGCTTGTCTTTGTATGTCACAACACCCACAACCACAAATTACTTAACCCTGAGTTTCTAATATTTTCATTAGCTTCAGAATCAAATTTTAGAAGCTAATGGTGAAACCTCAATACATATCAAGAAATGACAATGACTTAACTGTTACCCCATTAAGAAGTCACAATAACAATGCCTTAAGGAAAACAAATTTATTTGGTTTTGTAAAATAACCATATTGGCTGTTTTTCAACAGAATATTCATCTAAGTAGCTGAGTAGTTCAAAACCTTGGACAAACTCCTTGAGCAATACATTATGTCATCCTGATTTCTGTGTCTTTATCAGTGCTAAGCCAGCTCCAACCACAGAAAAGTACATAATTCCCCAAGGAACACTAGAAAATTCAATTGAAATGACTGGTGAACCTCCTACAAGGATGCTGGCTAATTTCCATGCTGTTCTCCATGGTTTTGACCAGGTAAAAGTAAGCTAATTTTTTTCCCTTTTGTTTGCTTTAATTACTCCTTCCCCTGTAGGGACAAGTGGTAGCATTGATGACCATTCAGTGGGAGGCCAGGACTTGGGATCCTTGTGTTTCCAAACTGAGCTAACAGCTGCAGGGTGCCAGCCCTCTGTGCCCTGCACTGCCTCTGTTTCCCATCAGTGTTGGGCAGGAGGAAAGGTGTGGCAATAACACAAACATTTGTACTATTCAATGTAGACATGCACAGGTATGGATACAAAGATAGAAAGAGCATTTATTGCACCAGCTTTAGCCAGTGATGCACTTATGGAAAAAAATAAACAACTGTGCATGCTCTAAAGCCAGAGCTCTTTCATTTGATGGTACTCACATATTTTACTCTGCTCTAAATTTGCCTAAATGCATGGTCATGACCGCTCTCCCACAGAGTGGATTTACAAACCTGGGTGTTCAGGCAATGGCTCAGTACCCTCTGTATGGGTTCCTGCAGTCAGGCATAAGGAAAGGAATTAAAGAGTAAGGGTTATGTGCTGTTTGTTTTGTCTTTTGCTCTTTCCCTGTGTAAAGCTCTGCTTAGTGGGTGGAAGGAAGAAGGAGAAGAAAGAAGACATGAGAATGTGTAGAACAGGCATGTCGCAGGTAGTGTGCAGTCTCCTTCCCTCCAGATCCCTGGTTATCCCTGAGTGCTACCCCAGGAACTTGCAGAAAGATCTTCAAGCCCACTGTGAGTCAGCTTCCCTGCAGCAGTGGCAGTGCTGGAGCAGTCAGCTTGTTCTCATCAGCACAGCAGACCATGATGAAGGCAGCCCTAACTGCACATTTCACCTTCCAGCAGGGTATTCTCATGGAGCTGCTGGGGCACAGCACACATGGGATGTGAAAAGGGTAAGAGCTCCTTTAGAAAGGAATACTAGTCAATGCCAGGGAAAAAATAAAAGAAAAAAAAAACAGCGAAAAAAAAGAAAAAAGGTTGTGTCAGAGCTACAAATGGATTGATTTTGATGATGTAGGATGATTTGGAAAGACATTTGTGAGAAAGGAATGACTGCAGTTTTGTGGCTGAGCAGCTGGCTATTAATACAGCTGAAAAATTTAGACAATTTTTAGTAAAGGTGGTTCATATACATTGTTGTCCTGTTTCAGTCTGTGTTTAGTGAAAGAATATATATGTATATTTTTGAATTAAACAATTTCTAAGCTTTACACTTTAGAGAACTCTCTTTTCTCACCCACTATTCTGAGCCATAGGTGTTTGTGGCTTACCACAAATTCCTGTGCAGACACTGTCTTTAATATATTTCTGGTTAAGGTTGTTTTTTTTGGTTTTTTTATTTTTTTGTTGTGTTTTTTAATTACAATAAGAAAATCAAAGTATGCTTAATCCAGATGGAATACATTTCATGGGTTGGTGGTTTTATTCAGGGTAGAAACTTGTGTTGTATTTTTTCATGGTTGAAATCGGTATTCTGATTTAAGGAGGTTTTTTTGTCAGACATAAAATCCTTTACCTTTGCCCTGATTCTGCTACATGTTGTTCAGCTCAGGATGATCTATTTTCTTTTGAAAGACAAGAGTTGATCCCTCTGATGTTCCCTCCACACATCATTATTTTCAAGGGTAACAAAATTAATTTTGTTGTTTATTACTTCTTAAACTAAAGGATAAAATATACAAAAATATCAGAGACATAAGAATTAATTTCTGCAGGTTTTACAGGCAAATGCAGAATAATTTAAAAACTAGATCAATGCCTGTGCTGAATATCATCTTGCTAAAATTCTCTATTAACACTGTAAATAACGGAGGCAAAAAAAAATTAAACTTCAATTTCAAACATGACTCTTTGGGAAATGGTGTAAAATTTCAAAATAGTTTGAAGGCTTTTTAATAAATGTTAAACTAGTACATTTTCTGTTTGGGATAAAGTCTGTGGATGACTTAGCTAAGAAGCTATAGTGGTTATCTGAGTAATATTTATAGGCTTCTAGGTAAAGACTCTGTTTTTGTTGGTTTCAGTAGCAAACCAACAGTAGCAAACCAAACAGTTCTCCTTTCCTAGGGAACATTGGGAACTAAAATGTCACTATTAACAGTTTTGTATCTGGGAATTACTGAAAAAAATACTGCCCAATAGCCTCTGATTCTTTAGAAACCTGTTTCTCACTCTGCTTCCAGCTGCAGCCTTGTGAGTGCTCCCTTTTGGCAGATGAGGCAGGCACAGCCCTCAGCAACACTCCCTGTTGCTGGTGCAGAAGTTACTCCTTTTTCCTTTGACAGGGGACCTCTGACCTGCATGCCAGAGAAGGAAAATTTAAAACCATCTGTTTTCCCCTGTGCAATTTTCACACTTCTGTTCCTGGGAGGCTGAAGTTTGGCCCTTGGGGCTGGAATGGAAGGTTCCAGATCAGCAGCTGAGATCTCCGTCTGTATCACCATCCTCAGCAACTGCTCAGAGGCCCACAAGAAGGTAGGAAGTGGTCAGGTAACCACACATCAAGGTAATTTCCACTCAGCCACACGGTTATACTGAATAAGGGGGATGCACTTCTTTCCCTGAAGCTGTTATTTAAGTAGCTGACATTATGTGATGGTGAGTATGAATATAAACCATATCAAAGGGGGGTTGTGGGTTTTTTACTGGCAGTGGATGCTTGAGCTTTGTAATATAGGTAAAACCAGTTCCACATCAGTAGCTAAGGGGAAAAAAATGCCCTTCATTATGTTAACAAAAACAGGGGTTTACATGTGCATATATGCCAAATTCATTAGGCAGGTAATGAAGCATTTGCACAAATGTAATTACAAACAGCAATTCTGACAGTTCATAACACTGCATTAATAATCACTACAATTAGTTCTGATGATGGAAGCAATTTACAGCACGTCACATGTATAAATAATGGTGCATTTCATGAATGTGTCATTATTATGTATTAAGGATGCCACCTTGTTGTGACTTTCTCAGTAATGTTCCCCTTGAGTCAAAGTTAAGGATACAAGAGTGATTTTTTTTTTTCTGAGATGCAACATATTTCAGACTTGTATAGTTTAAATACCGAGTTGAGGTCATTTGTGTAAGTTCTGTATGTGAAAATGTGAAATGTCTAAATAAAAGGCAGTAATTATTTGTTACTGAATGATATAGGATATTATTGAATAGATCCTCCCATTTGAGTAATTTAAATAAATTTCAGAGATATTTATAAAGAAATAAAAGAGACAGAAATGTCACCCCTTGATGATATAGCTTTCTCCATATCTCCCAGCTTGTATTTACTCAGAGAAATTAATTTTGTTTTTGTCTTCATACCCCTACTAGCCTTTATTTAGTTAGTGGGACATCAAGCTGTTTTTCCCTTTTGTGGTACTTGGTGTCATAGTGAAATAATTGTTTAATTTTATTATGATGATTTAATAATGCTTCCCATTTAGAAAACAAGTCTATGAAATCAGCTTATTCCAACCCTTAGTTTTCTTTGCTAATAAATCTTGCTGCTTTAAGCTGTTCTTTTCAAACCACAATTCATAAGCCGGATAATTCATTTTGCTAATTAATGAGAGGGAGTATTCTGATGGCAGGGAATACCAGAAAGGTCTGTAAAAGCAAGAATTATTTCTCTCCTCTTGGTAATATTGCTTATTGGCCTTTCTCATTGTACTGCTTAGTGATTCATTACCCTGTGGTTTCACAAGGATTTTTTTTACATAGATATTGGAGAGAGAAATAAGACAACAGGTTTTTTTAAATGTCAGTTCCTATGTATATAGGCATGTCTATGACCTTGTGCATATATATATATACACATAAATCATATGAATATAAATTTATTGTCCTTTGGGAAGAACTTCCTGAAAGGAATTAAGCATTGCCTGCAATTAAGCATTGACCAGAAAGCATAAACTGGGCAACTTGAGATATCTCATCAGCCAGTGGAAATTGCCGTGATTCTGTTATAACTCCCACCAGTTTATAGTGTTTTCCCGAGAATATGTAATCTTGTTTCTCAGTTTTTCCTGCTTCTAAGACAGACTCCAGCACACCAATCTGCAATAGTTAAGGTCTCTTCATGTGAAGTGCAGGATGCCTGGTCCTGCCTCATTGTCCCGCTCATGCCCTCCACCTTCTGATCCCCACACATGTGTTCAAGGACTTGTCACTGGATGCTGCTGTGGGGGAAAGTAGATTCTGTCCTCCCCATTATCCACCCACCCAGCAATGGCTCCGGGGTTTTTTTGGGTACAACAGACCAGTTTTGTATAGAGTACAATGGCAATTATGTGAACCTGACAGCCCAAAATATTTCTAATGCAAACTCTGCAGCTTTCTCACACTCACAAAAATGTCCCTTTTATATCACCAGCTTTGATTATCCTAGTATAATCAATGTCCCAGAAGTGTGCAGCTGAATGTGCTTGTACTGCATTAGAATATTGATATACTCTTCCAAAAGACAAAGGAAAAAGCAATTTCTTGAGATAAATATATATGAAATTAGAAAAATGTTAAATGAGTTTTTGTTGCTGACAAAGAGAAAAGCAGGTTTATTCTGACTGCAAGAACATTCCGTTCTAAACCCAAGTTGCTGGCATTTTTCACAGGGATTCTCTGTTCAGCCTTCTCATCACAAGCATGCAGCACTGCATATTATATTCCAGTGGCTTTTTAAATTTTTTTTTTCATTTGTTCTTTGAACCAGTTTAAAATAAAGATGGATTAGCATTTCACATAATCAAATTGCTGCATACAAGTTTATGTAGCAAGCAGGCTGGAATGGCTGCAGCTATTTTACTTGTTCTGTTCTGTCACATCATGTAATATTTAAAGCCTATAATTAAGTTTTTACTCAAACTGTTGGGAGGCAAATACTGCCCCCAAGGGCGTAAAGGTTCCTGTCTGCAAAGGTTTCATCACAAACTGGCATATTTTGCAAACTGAAGGGGAGCAAAAAGAAGCTTCAAATGCTGTGAAGCCAAATAAAAGAGAAAGACATTGGTTCCTTGAATAAAATGTTTTACCACCCTTAACCACATGCTTTCTCTGTGGCATTATGACTAGAATTCTACAATAAACTTAATGCTTATAGGATGGTGCAGTAATGGGATTAATATTAATTCAATTTTTACCAAAGTTCTTGAATACTTCCCAATTTCAAATAATGTAGAATTTCAGTAACTAAACGTTCCCTAGTGAGGAGATATAAAAGACTACAATCAGATACAAGTTTTTTATTTCTCCTCCAAGAAAGGCACAGTAGGTTACCTTCCTGTCACTCATGAGGATTATGTTTTTAAAGATCTGTATGGGAAAATACATGCATTTGTTCACAAAGTTATGTTCTCTCATATAATGTAGTGTTTTGAAAATGTGGTTTTCTCTAAAGTTTTTTTATAAGGGCTAAGGTAGGAAACATAAAGCTTGGATAATGCATTTTACACGATTACAGAGTTTTAGTCACAAATTTTCTATTTTTGCTCAGATACCTCTCATTGGATTGAAATAAAAGAAATCTGGTTTTAATATTATTTGCTGAAAACCCAAACCCAGCAATGCAAATGTATAACCATGAAGCTTTCTGAAAGGAAGTAGTTGAGCCTCTTTTATGTCTCTTAGCAGTGTTTATTCAGAACAGCTTTGGTTTGTTCTTTAAGCAGCTGACTTGTTTTATTCAGTGACGTATTCTGTTCCTCAGGTGGGTTCCACAGGAATCCTTGGTGAGATCGTGTAAGGTGGCCACATAACGGGTGCCTGGGACTGCAGGCTCTGCTGGATCTGTCTGCAATAATTCCTCAGCCCAGTCCTGGTGAGAACCATCATATGTAACCTAAAGCTCTGAAAACACAGTATGTTTAACCTAAGGGAAAGAGAAGACCCCACATTTTCTGATCCATCCTGCAGCAAGGTCTTGTCTGGCTGTGGGGGAATCAATTCTGTCAATGATTTATCCTGAGCAGATTTTGGTTGAAAGGGTTTGTGAGATGTCCTACTGCTTGTCTACTTTTGCAACTACAATTAATTGGGAACTTGAATTCAGTACTTTGTAACACTGTTTGTATAGTGAGCTTAATGACATTGGATACACTTAGGTCTCCATTTTCCTAGGAAAATTATTTTAAGGTGCTTCCATTTAGAAAGTTTTGGGTAGGCATGGAGAAGTATCTCTTATGGAACTGCACTTTAACCAATGTAACTGATAAACTCACCAGTTTCAGCAATCCAGAATGGCACTGTCCTCAGAACTTTAACTTACTCTTTGCACATTTTCTTCCTCAAAAAATAATGGAAATGTTATACATTTCCTTGCACCTCACTCTTTCTAAAATAGGAAAAATAGCTTGTAAGACTGTTTCTAATTTTCCGCTACCCTCTCACATCTGTTTCTGTAGCTTTGTCAGGTTATTACCAGCTGACATATACTGAATTATTCAAATTTCATTATTGAATTTTCATCCTGGACAGCAGTGTATGTGGAACATCCATGACTCCAAAGGGCCAGATTGCCAAAGTTGCTTCTAATCAGCAGCAAATGCTGAAATTTTTGAGGCTACAAAAAGAAAATGTTGTTTTAACTTTAATTTTAAGAAGTTTTGCATGGAAACTGCTTTAATCTGTTTTCATATACACAAATAACAAATGTGGATGTTTATACAGGAGTGTGTGTATATATGGACACACATATATAATATAGATATATACTATATGTATTATATATATGTACTTTTTGATCTGTATATAGATATTTTAAAACCCTGTCTGCTTCTTCTCAGCTGCTGAGGAAGCCACTTTAGAGAACTGATTGTACACAATTTGCTAAAAAGAGCCAAGAGATTTTTCAAGCACCCTTTCCACACTTGTTATTTTTCATTGTCCAAAGGTAAAAGAAAAGTTCATTTGTGAGGAAAAAAATTAAAAATTATCATATTAGGTGTGAGCAGGCCATTTGTGGAGCAGGATAAGCTGGGAAAAGTGCCCCTTTCACCCCTGGCAGTGGGCTGAAGCCTGCCTTTCGGCTGTGAGCGAGAGCAGAGGGCTGGTGTCTCCTTGGTCCCAAAGAAGCAGAATTTCATATGTCAAAGAGCCACACTCAGATGAAGGCAATTGGAAGTAACTGCTCAGAAGAAGATGCCCAAGAGTAAGTTGCCATGGAGATGGAAAGGCTAAACGCCACCGTACTCCTGACCTCCAAAGAGGCTGATTTCTCCATGTGACAGCTGAGGTCGTGGGGGCATGGTGGGAAGCTCATCCTGTCGGCTCCAGCTCTGCCTCTAGCCTATGGATAAGTAAAGAATTACTGCTTTAGTACTTTAGGTAGTCCATTAACCTTCACAAGCCTGAACTTTCATTCAAATAATTGCAAAATAAGTATAGGTGGTGAAACCTGAACAGAATCACTGCTATTTGTATGCCCTTTGGAAAGTTTAGGGACCCAACCCTTAGTGTGGATCCACTGGTATTTTAAACAGTGAAGATTCTTTCTTAGTTTCTTGCTGTAATTGGAAAAAGTTAAAGTCCAGAATTACCAGCAAAACCAGAAAATCGTTCAGTGACTAGCAGCCAAATGAATGGATGGTCCTTCATCAGCAGTGGGGCTTTGTATTCATTGGGGAATTTGCCTTCTCTTTTTATCTTCTTGCTTTAGGATGAGTTCTTTTAGCTACAAATTCATTCCACATGGGTCCATTAGAATAACCCACTGTGTGTCAGCTTTGATAGACCTCACCTGGGAGCAGTCATAAAGACAGAAGAGCAGCAAGCTCCTGCTTCATACCCCAGTAACCCACAGCCTCCCTCTGTGCACATGACTCCCACAAATGCAGTAAAACCTGATTTAAGTGCCAGCAGAGAGACTGGTAAGTACAGATTGTCTGACAGAATTGATCTTCCACTCGAGGTAAATAACAGGGCTTTTTTCAAAACCTCAGCACTACTTCAAAGTGGCATCTTAAGATACAGCTTATTGTGGGTGAGGTTAGTGGTGCAAGTTCAGGCACAGGTAAATGGCTGGTTGCAGAACCAAAATGACTTCAGAAATAAGTGCTTACTGGTGTTATTTTGAGAAGTAGCTTGTTGTAGACCGTTCTAAATGCCAGAAGCTGTTAAATGTTATTGTGATTTTGTGAAGTGGACCCTGCATTAGGAAGAAATAGCTTTTGTGAAAAGTACCACTTAGAGCTAGAAATATTTTTCAGCAAGAACAACTTCAAGACTCTTTTAAATTGCAGGCAGCTCTATGACAATAAGTTCAGAGAAATTCTTTGAATTCAGTGAAGTTCTTACAGGAGATGGGGAAGTCTAGAAAAATAAAGTTGACAGCTACAGCTTTTACTCTTATTTTATTTATTACTTTTTATTTTATTTAGCCCACTGGGAGTATATCTCACCCAAATCCTGTCTACATAAATCTTAATCTGCTCCAAAGTCCCAAGTCTTATCTTAAATATCCTGACAGAGTTAGGGTCTTCCTGCTCTATAGGAACAGTGCAGTTATTAGTACTTGGCTCAATAATGAGCTGATTAAGACCTTAATTTTCAATCCCGTTAAAATTGTCACCACTGTCTATCTCACTGAGGCCAAAGCAGCAGTACAAAACCCCATGCAACACTCCTGCACTTGGAGAGATGCAGTGAAGTAGCAAAATGGCATAAGAATCCTTGTTTGGCTGGTGAGGTGATGCAGACTTGCAATACTTAAAATACACTTGCCTGAGTAGTGACAGTCTTAAAATACATGCAAAGCATCCTCATGAAGTAAGAAGCAACCCCACAGAAAATGGAAGTGTCCAGAAATTATGCAAATAGTAACTATGCTGGGAATCCTTTGGTAACCCTGTTCCTTTGTATCAGAACATGCAGCTGTCATGTCTAAAAACTTCAAATAAATTTCTGAAACCTTGTAGCTACAGGAGAATGTTTTCTGGTGTCAGCATTACCACTAACATTATTGATTCTTTTCCTACATCTTGGAGGGGAACTTGGCACCATGTTTCTTGGCCTCTCCAAAACTACAAATACATAGATGAAATGCTTCCATCTGAAAGCCCTGTACTATATGGACTGCACCCCAGTGCTGAGATGGGATTCTTGTCAACATCAGACAATCTCTTCAACTTTCATTTGGAAAAGCAAGCCATATCTCCATGGGAGAGGGATCAGGCCAGTCTGCAGTGAAGAGGTGAAGTTCTTCATCCAGTGTACTGTCAGTGCTTTTAGTGACAGGTGGAATACACCTCTTACTGAGTTATTTCAGCAATAGACCTAATTTTGGGGGCTGGGGGTGGAGAGAAGGCATCAAATTAGAAAAGATCAGATGAGTTAATGGTAGCGATAATGCACCAACCTGGCCAAGAGGTAATGCACTAGGAAGATATTTGGACCAATTTCTTTTTCACATTGAATTTATTTGGGGTGGGAAGCAAGGTATGGATCTATCTCACTTTTTTTTTTTTTTAATACTTTTTATAAACAAATAGAGCAAAAATACTAGAAAAAAGGCATGGTTGGTTGAATTGGTGAGTCTAGTCTTGACCTCCGTCTTTTGTTCCCATCTCCTGCATGATAAAACTCCTTAGGGTAGCTTTCCTACACCTTCCCACTTGTGCCAAGCATAGGAAGTCCCTCCTAGCCTGCAGTCCTGACTTTTTCTGCTGCATCCACAGCACAGCCACACAGTGGTGTGCAGGATTTCCATGCCAGAGCAGCCCAAGCGCAGGTTCTCCCACTGCTTCCCTTCTTGGGAACTTGTTCTGAGCAGGAGCTTCGTGGCTGCTCCAAGACTTCCTCTGCAAGCAGTAAAGGAAGAGGAAGTTTTCAGGGAGTTTTAGTTTCTGGGTAGTCTGAAGAGGTGAATCCTGGCCAAGGAAGGTGTCTGACCATCTCTTGGCCTCAGCACCTGACCACAGAACCTGGAGTCTAGCAGAACAATAACAATAACATTCCTACTGATAAACTATCAGACGCTGGGTTAAACAGACCAACCGCAATACCAGGATTAGCTTTGTCCCTTAATATGGAGTTGGCTGGGACATTGCAGTTCTGTTCATAGTCCAGTTATGTCAGACACACAGATACATTATTATAGCCAAACTCCTTCCAGAAAAATTTAAAAGAATGGGTTTTAAGCATAGAACATCACTGGTGCTTAAGAAAGTAAATGAATAAAGGAGCAGGGAATGAAAATGTAATCACAAATCTCAGCTAGTTCTGTTTTCAGATTGTGCCTTCTGCATCCTCCTTTCTGAGTGTAGGTCTGAGAAACTATGTCCAGATGCCCCAAAGCCTGGCACATGATGCGAGACTGAGCCTTCAGCTCCTTATCCTTACCAGAGTTAATTAAAGTCCCCTATAACTGGCACTCTGGTTTCGCCATCCTTTTCTTTATTTCCTCCCTTTCCTCTAAGCACTCTTTTTTAAAAATCTTTCTTTTTTTTTCCCCCTCTTATCACTATCAGATCATGGAGGCTTTGCAGGTGGAAGTGCAACAGCTCTGCATGCAAGTAGCCAAACATTGCTTCATCTCCTGGGGGGAGCTTGTGCTTTTCATGCTCAGTCCCCATCCACTTTAGGGAGTCTGGACCATAGCATATGGCATTCATCATTTAGTCTGCCAAAGCTAGGGCTGAAACAGAGGCTGAGCTGCATTAATGCTGTGATTTCAATTCCTGCTCATTAGCACTGTTATGAATTGTTCTTCATTTATGTTCTGTCTCAGTTCCAGAGCAAGCCTGAGGCGAGAGAAGCTCTTTCTGGGGGTGAGGCATGTCTGTGCCTGTGCTGTGTTTTGCCTAATGCCTGAGACAG